CTACCAGAGGGAAAAAATAAAACAAAACCCCCACCAACACTGGCAGGGCATGCCACAGTATATAAACAGAGAGCAAATCCCATTGCATTCTAGCACTGAAGATGTTACCTAGCCAGGTAAGGAAATGTTTGTAAGAAAACAACCAAGCTCAGCATACTCCACAATACAAGTCAAGGAATCCACAACACACACACACACACACACACACACCATGGGCAATTTACTCATGCCATTTTCTAAAAAAGCAAGAGTGCCAATTAAAATGCCATTGACTTAACTGCTTTGACTTACATTTGTGGTAGACAGATCTACAGTGTAGCATCAAGAGTTATCCAGATCAGCATGTAATTCTGTTCTGTTCTTCCTCTTGTAATAAAGCCTTCAAATGTCAAATGTAAATCTTGTTTGTCTTCATATTTAAATGGCCCATTTCAATGTGTCTACTTAGAATAAATTCCTATTGAATTAAATTAGGCTTATATATATGTTTGTTTGTTTCTTTGTTTGTTTAGGATTGCAGACCTAGCAAGCCCCAGGGAGTTGCTAGGTCTGCAGTCCTAAACAGCAGGAAGATCACAACAAACTCTGTGTAAGAGGGTTGAATAAGCATAATCAATGCACACTTGTAAAAAATGTTTTGAGCCATAGCAGTATTTTTTAAAATGAAGACTAAGGAGAGCCTAGTAGACTGTTTCTACAGTGGCCAGTTAGATGCCTCTAGGAAGCTCATAAGCAGGGCATAAGGGCAAAAACATCCTTTAACTCATGGTTTGCCAGCTAGCAGAGTGATAGCAGAGATGGGAAAAGATTTTTCTTTCCAAATACTTCATACTTTGGAACATTTTGGGGCTGCTGCTATATTGAAGTGATGAACCGTTATACAAAACATGAGTCATAGGTTCCATTCAGAAATGCCCCAACTTAAGAGTAAGATGTAGTCAGTGGAGCAAAAAAGAGGCCTCACCAAAATATACTACAGACTTTAGTATATTTTGTAATTCCACCGACAGATAAGTCATTATTAAAGAGCAGGGTTTTTTTGTTTTTTGTTTTCATGAAAAAGTTGGTTCATCACCAGTTGCCTTCCCCCTTCCGTGTTTTGTTCTTATATTATGCCTGGACAAGCCTCGCATTCCTCAGGTTATCTACCACTGTCTTTAGCTCCAAGTATCCAGAAAACATGACGCACATACACACTCCTGTTCCCTCCCTGAAAGTAGCAATGATAAAATATAATCTGCAGTGTTCCTGAAAAATTGTGCAAGTCTAGGCCTTGCTTGGACCTGACTACTGTATCAACATCAGGTTCTGCAGAGAAATGCCAGATACAACCCAAGTTCAGGCTGTCTCTCTATTCCACTGACTGCCTCTAGTTGGCATGAATCACAATCCAGAACTTTAACATTTAAAGGATCCTTCTACCTTAAAGGAGGAAGAAATGGACAATCTGCACATATCCATTTTTTAATGCAATATGTGGTTTTGCTAATACAAGTGGAAGTTAGAGAATTTTAAACATTTCTGCTCTAAAATTGGTAATGGTATCTCATTTGTGATACTTTTCTTTCAATACATTTTTGTGGAAATATCTTATTAATCATCTTTTAAACCTAGCTTAGGTAGCATTTAATTTCCCTGGAAGACTTTGAGAAGAATACTTGAAGAAAAAGAAACTTTGAAAAGTTTCTTGTTTGTAAAGTTGAGGTCTCTGAGTCACAGGATGACCAACCAAGTCCAAACCTAGAAAATTTGAAGGGAATCAGAGGGCTTCTTTGAATCCAGATAACCTATCCACCAGCTCTTCTCCATAAATAACCCAAGTAGTCCCAGCCACCATGCAAGCACAGGCAAAAGGTTGCTCTGCTGACACAAGGTTCTAGAGCAAGAGAACATGGCCTTATGAGAAAAGGTGTAAGCTAACATCTTCACATGCTAGGTTTTAAAAGAACCATTCAAGAACCTTCCAAAATGTTCTGATGTTTTTAACAGACAGATGCTTTGCTATTTAAAGAACTTCACATACATGAGGTTTAGAAAGTGTTTTTTAGATAATGTAAATTGAGGACTTCTGCTGCTGTGCCTAGGTGTGTCATATCTGGGGTGCAGACAACCACTAGATAGAAGCAAAGAGGCCCAGAAAGCTCTAACTCTTTGCTATTGTCTAATGGTCATTATGATTTTTGCAGCCCAGGTATGGCAGCCCTAGCTAGGCTAAACATTAGATACTCTGCAGACCTGAATGAGTTTTGAGGTCATACTTAATATCTAAAACCAGGATATATAAGACCCACAGTAGCCTAATAAGTCTAAATATATAGAACCAGGAATGAATGTCAGGGCAATTTGTATCTTCCTGCTATTTTCCTCTTTCCTGATCTCCCCAAACCACAATTCCCCATTATGTGTGAAACTGAAATCTATTGACTAACGTTGGTTTACTCAGCAGGATAAAAGCAAAGTCTAATATTTGTATTAATAGACTAACATTAACCACTTTCCTGTTTGGGTCATCCTGTGAAACACTGATTTTATAAGCTCAGGAAAGCTGATATGCAAGGGTGAATACTGTAAGTATTTAAGCCAGATCTCCATGTTTAGCTGAACTAAATCATCATTTAGGAAATTAGAATGTTGCATCAAAAAAAGACCAGTAAGTTCAGATGGTACACATTGAACTTGAATCAAAATGTTCTTTGGACCATGTTCAATGGGCTAAACACAGTATTATGCAAGGGCTCTCATGCAATGAACCTTTCTCTTCCAAATGTCTCCCAAATCTGTTCAGGAAAGTTTTCCCTGGAACAAGGCAAAATTTCAACAGTATATTAGGTGATCAGAGAAGGCTGAATCTGTCCTGAATAATACTGCTCAGTCAGCAGAAGACATATTTGTCTTCTGCCCTCCTCAGAAATTTAATAGGGTTTAATAATTATATACCTGTGCTGCAGATTCGTTCAATACACAACGAATATACAATATACAACAATATAGTTATAATCTATATCCTTCTTCCTGTTTAATTTAAGTTACATTCTTTGTTTCTTTATTTCTTGCTAGAGGGGAGCAGCTATCTTGACACGGACCTGCGCCCTGGTTACTGGCCTTTTATTATTTCTTTTATTACCGCCTCTATTGTTCACTGCCATAGAAGGCTGGACTTATGAAGAAGGGTTCTACTATTCCTTCATAACTTTAAGTACAATAGGCTTTGGAGATTATGTCATTGGTAAGTATTCTACACCAATTAAAACTTTATTTGTTGGGTGGGTGGAGTAGGGGTGGATAAACCAATAAATGTATTTTATTTACAATTTCCCCAGTAATTCAAAGGAAAACATGGACAAAAAAAATGTCTTCTCAAGTTTAAGTTCAATAATGACAATAAAATCCCAATTCATTCTATTTTAAGGCTGAAGTACAAACATTTGCTTCTTTTCCAGTGAAAAGGTATGCCCTTGAATGTGAAATTCTCAAGAGCAAAAGGCCCTTTATGTGCTTGTTTACACAGTTCTCTTTGGAGATAATGTTTTTACTCCACATTTCCAGAGAACTTGCTTGGTGGAAATACCCTCCCTTTTTGAGGGAAGTTTTTAACTCTCTGGTCAATTGTGGGAAAACAAGCATCTTATTCACGCAACAGGAATAAATGGTTTAAAAGAATTCTGATATGTTAGGTGTTTTACATAGGCTCAATCTGGGATGCATTTATGCTAATAGCAAGGCAGCCTGGCACATCTAATGGACGTTTAAGTTGGAAGAAATGGATAAAATTCTAGAATGTGGGCTTGGTTGGTAGCCATTTTTATTCCAGTCTAATAACAATTATACAATGAAGGCTAATATAAATGGCTGCATACTTATAAGAATTAACAAGCAAAACTTGTTAAGTAATGCACGTAAATCCCATTTATGAGGCTCCTCTAAAAAGCAGTTTCAACATTTTTACAACTGTGGGGAAGAAAGACAATCTTAAATTGGAATTATGTAGGCTGGAACAGGATTGATCTACAATGATGGTATCTCCAAGATCTCATTTTAACCTTCATCCCAGTGATGTTCCTTACTTTCTCCAGGTTATTTGAATGGTTGTATTTTTGTTTCTGGAGAGAGGAAATGAGAAGAGTCACTCTTTGTACAAAGCCATTATGTTATTAACCATGACTTGTAATAAACCACAGATGGCACTAATCTCCTGTTCTATATCATAAACTATGTTTTGTAAACCACAGTGGCTGAGTTCACATAACATGCTAAGCCAGAACCAAACAAACCACATGATGACTTAAGGTAAAATGTAAATGCAGTCACTATTGTAATAAAAATAATAATTAATTAATCTTGGATGCTGCCCAACTCTCAACAGCTCTGGGTGGCTATTGTGATGAGTTCAAGGATACTTCCCTGACTTTGGATGCTGTCTCCCCCACACAGACAGAGAGGGCATTAGGAGAAAAGGAGAGAACGCATATTCTGCATGTAGAGCATGTGAAGATGCCTTGCATCCCTTGTGAGGATCAGAAAAGCCTGAAATATAAACCATCCAGTTAATGTGTAATAGGCAGTGAGAATAACCTTGAGGAAGAAGAGGAGGAGCTGCAGCCAAGGCAGTGCTCAGATAAGAGCAATCTGGGTCCAAACCGGGAATGGAATTTGCGAAAGCGTCTCAGACGGGACCCTCCCTAGTTCTCTTCAGGATAAAGGCAGGAGGGGGAGACACATTCAGAGTTGCAAGATTCTGTTACTGTAACCCTATAATATAGTTTTGTATTCATGACTTTGGTATTCAAGTCTGGTCTACCTTGTAGGGCCGACATAATGGGATGTCTGTTACTTTGTTGTAACGCTGTTGTGTACAGTACAAGCATTTGAATCAACAGTTAGAACAATACCTCTCAGCTGCAGCTCTCTCAGGGCTTATTTTGTACTCACAAGTCAATATGTCCTTTGGCTTGGTTGCTGACCTAAGTGGTATCCCATTCGCTCTCGGATTCTCCATAGGCTAGGTACAGCTTAAGCTTTAGTTTTCTTGTTATCCAAGTATCTTTGAAATTGCATGCTAGATTTCTTCCTGCTTTTTCTTCCTCACAGGCATGAACCCCGAGCGTACTTATCCAGCCTGGTATAAGAACGTGGTGTCTCTGTGGATTCTCTTTGGGTTGGCCTGGCTAGCCCTGATCATCAATCTCTGCATCAGCTTGGTAGAAAATTCTAGGACCCTTTGCCAGTGCTGCAAGAGGAAGAGTCACAACATAGAAAGGGAGTTAATGAATGGCAACCAAAATATTAATTTGGAGCCAGAAGATGGGCAGAAATGTGATGTGAAAGACATAAAACCTGTGGGGATGGACTGAATCTGGAATATTCATTCTTCTACTGAAGAAGGGGAGCATCTGACAGACACTGGTAGATGATTTGCTTTGTCACTAGCAGAAATGTTGCTACCTGGGGGGTCATCTAAATGGAGCTGACTTGACACGTAACAATGGAAATCCACATATATGTCCTTGAAATGGTCTGGAACTGCTTTTTCATGTGATACCTTTTCGGTATGGGAATAAATTGCTTTATCAGAGGAGTGAAATAATACTTGCTGCAGGATAAACTCTGTTGTGAGCATCCAAATTGGGAATCTGTGACCATCACAATCCCCACTGATGTACTTATAGTTGCTATATGCATACAACAGTCTTCCACGCCTAGGGACCTCCATGCTTGCTGGGACTTAATAAAGACCAATACTTGTGAAAGGCATCAGCTTATAGAAGATGGATTACAAGATTCCATCCATTACCATCCCAGTCCCTCAAAAGTCAAGGTTATTTGTGCACAGGCTAGAAATCAGTACTAGCAAAATAAAGAAAGTGTGCAGAACATAGCTGCTGGAATTCTTCCAGTTCTCTTTATTAACAGTGGCCATAGGACACGTCTACATTTTCTTCTGTGTAACAAAATTAACACATTGCATTTGTATGCATCTATATGTGTATGTTCTGGAAAGCACAGGCTTCTGGGTGATGACACCCAGCTTAGAATGGAGGAATCATCAGCATCCTGAGCGTTTGCCCAAGAGTTTTCCCACAGGCCTGAACTGGGGTTTTTTTTTCCAGGATCTTTTTTTTTCCTCAGCCTGACTTGGTCCATTTTCAGCCCCGAATTTCTTTTGCTAGGTTCTCCTGCCACCCCAAATCTGGTCCCTTCTGTTCAGTTTTTGGAGAGTTATCTGCTGATTGACACAAAGACAGGCTGACTGAGTGCTATTACATAATATCTTTCTGACATTCCATTGGGTTGAAAAGGAAAGAAAGGCTGCCTATATTGTGGCATGTTAATTATGGAGGGTGGGGTGGGATTAATCATATAATTGCACACTTATATTAGATTCTAAGTTTGTTCAGATGCCACTCTTCTCTTTAGTATTTTTTGCTTATACTTTTCCAAAGAATCCCTATGAGGGGTCCTACTATATATATATAATACAAAGCATTTTTAAAAAATGATGGTGATGATGAATAAGAGAACATTGTTATTTATTATATATACTGTCCATCTTTCCTTTAAAACTGTGCTCAAGATAAAAACAGTAAAACCATTGAGGCCATGTGCTTCCTCCAGCTAGAGATATAAAATAACTCCTTTCACGGGGGGGGGGGGGGGGCGCCCAGCTGGGGCCCCTTCCTTGTAGCCCTGATAAAGGGAATAAATAGGGAAATGTTCCATGAATGTGCCATCTGGAACATCCCCCAATCTGTGCCATCTAGGCCATCTTCTTCAATTTGGCATTCTTCAGTACTGATTCCAGATGGGAATTCTGAAAGTTGCAGTCCTAATATACTTGAAGGATACTAGATGTGGAGGACAGGTCTCTCATCTTACATTTTATCCTATTATAACTTGACTCTTGACAATTTCTGCTGTGCCAGTCTTTGTAGTGGGATAACGTAGCCACAGCAGAAGATTGTAACTTTGATTAAAAAAAAGCAACATCATCACCCACAGAAATGTTATCTGCCAAAAATATGGAAGGTCATTCGTTCAAGGGTGACTAAAGACACACACACACCCTGGCACACTGCTGCTCAAATTGTCACAGCTGACCTGAATTCTTTCATAATCTGCGCTGGAAAATTACTGGAGATACTTGGAGAGTTGTTAAAAGATTTCCTCTGCAATTGTCTCTCTCTGTTTTTTCTATCTGTATGTTTAATAATGTTCTTATTGAAAGTTCAGGATCACATAATAAATTTATACCCTACAAAATATGTGTTACGTTCAAAATAAAAATAATTTTTAGGGAAGTTCAAATACTTTTTCTTAGATTTTAAGGATTTTTTTTCATTCCCAGAATCTTTTAAGTGAGCTATATATATTGATCCACCTGAGTGCATCAGTAAGAAATGTATAAATTATAAAATAAAATCTTCAGTAATATTGAAATTTTCCCTTATTGGGAAGACTTCCTTGCCTGGGCGAATCTCCAGGTACAACATTCCACTTGGTTGCATTTTACAAAAGGGTAAATGCAAGACAGGGCAACCGCCCTCCCCCTCCCAAAATACATTCCTGAAACATGATAGCAAAATTTTGATGGAAGACTTAACAGACATATTCTGAGTAACTTTTCCTCCAGTCTTAACAAAAAGGGAGAAAAAGATTGACCTTCTCCTCTAGTGATACCACTGTTGATTTCCATAGCCAAAATATAACAAATGCAGTCCCCAAACAGGAGAAAAGTTGGTTAACTCTTATTCACTTATACACCAGACTTGTCTCTCCCAAGAGAGTGCTTGCTCCCTCCCTCCCTCCCTCCCTCTCTCTCCAGTATGTATGTACATGTGAGTGTGTCTCCCTTTTTGAGAGCTGCTGGGACGAACCCTGCTTTTCTTCAACACAACACCTGTCCAGGTGCCCTTTGGACCATTCTCTGCAGTTTCAGTGACATCATGCAAAACTTAGCTAGATTAGTTATAAAATACAATTTAAAATGCCTCATGCACTCCAGAGACATAAACAGCAGACCTTGCAATGCTTCTGTATTTTAATAGCTGCACAGGATGAGGGTATTTGATTGTAAAGCATGCCTACCCTGTAATTATTAATAGTATAGGAGCTCTTTGGGGGGGTGTTGATCAAGTGCTAGCAAAATAGCCCCCTAAATGTTCCAAAACTGCTCCTTAGTTCATTAATTTTTGCAGTTTATATATGTTTGAATTGCAGATTGTGTAACAACTCTGAGCTGGGAATTATTTTAAAAGTAAAAAGCTGTTCAATTCTGCAATCAAATTTATGGTCCCACTGTTTTTTCTTCCTACTTTTATTATTTAGAACATTTTCACAATTTCAAAGAACTTCTTCACCCAGAATGAATAAACGAAATACTGTCTAAACATTAATTTAAATCAATACACCTTCATTTCAGACATAAAAATAATGTCCAGATTTCCAAAGTTTAGTAACTCAGTAAGAAAATATATAAAGCAGGGGAGCACTGTATTTAAAATCAGAAATTGACAGTGGTTATTTATTCACTTGTATAGTGAAGGGGAAGAGTGAAGTGCATAGCTCCAGGGCTTTTAAGTACCAAGATAATTGATTAATCTGCCTTTCTCTGGCTAGTGAGAAGTGATAACAAATTTTCAGTTTTGCTAATGACAGATTGGCATCATCTCTGGAGAATACTAAAGCAAGGGCTGGGTACTTCTATAATTTCATGGGATTCTTACATCATGATAACTTTAAGCATAGTAAGTATTGTTTGCACTTCTAATGAAAAGCTAACAATTTCATTTTCATTTCCTGAAGATGTTTGAGGTGTTTTTTTAGTCGGATCCAGCTGCCTTTCCAGTAATGGATGCAGAATACATTCATGATTTGATAGTGGATGAAGAAGCCAAGATGGCTTGGACAGCAAAGACCAGAAACAGGAAACAGGAAAATATGTCCAGCTTTTCGTAGTCAGGTCCTCTGTAGCAGAGGTATAGGTGGGAAGATGATGTGGTTGTGAGACAAAATATTTTCCTTACCAATTCTGTGACTGAATTGATTCTTAACAAATATGTGTACCTCAGTCTTGAGATCAGAGAGAAATGGGAAATAATGCTACTGTACCACCTTCCACTTTTTTTTTTTTTTGGTGCCTGAGTCAGTCCCTGCAGTTTTCTTGGTAAAATTTCACAAGTGGTTTGCCATTGTCAATACTGGGGCTGACCCAGAAGATGTGGTCTTGGAGCTGATGTCAAGGTACTGGGTGACCAGTATCCACTGAGGCTAGTTTGTCTGGAATACCCAGGGGGTACATTGCAGGTATAATTGTGAATCCATCTCAAATGGTCACATGTTTGATCTGAACTTTTGTTCTGATCAAGGAGGCAGGTGATCTGTGAGTGAACTTCAGATCTAAAGGTACTGGAACTGAAAGCGACAGGATGCAGTTGGATTTTAAGAGGTTTGAGGTTTGGTTCCACTTGTAATAGGGATGGATCCTGGAAGCTATTTTCTTGCATATATTGCATTCACAAGCTTAAAATGTATTGCTATATTTCAGCCTGTAAGGACATTGGTTTTTATTCCCACCTGCTTCAATTACAGAATCCTCTTCAATTGTGTGATTTTCAGAGGCTTATAATAACATTTTCTCATGTTCAGTCCAATCTGGTTGCCACTATTGTGGCAGAGTCAATTATCGAGCTTCGAGCTGACTGATATTCCTCTCATGTAATTAGACTATATCAATTTCAATCTGTGACATCCAAGGACATGAACAACTTGGAGCAGTACATTTTAGCATTTATCATCTGGATCCTTCCCCACTTTGCTTGTAACTTTTAGCTGGTTACAGAGATACCTTAGTAAATATCATAAATGCTTTTCAAAGGAAGGATAACATGTTCTCTTATTTAAAGGAGACAATTATTAGATCTTTTCCTAAAAATGCTATATTGGATCCCTTAGAGATGGGCAATTGTCAGTTGTCTCAGACCCACACCAGCCATCTTACATGGTTACATCAACTGATAAGGTGCTGGTTGCTCAGCTGCAGGCAATCTTGGAGGAAGCTTATCATATGGACTCATTTCAGAGTGGGCTTGCATCTGGGAAACTGCCTTGGTGATCTTAATAGATAATATTTAGGTAACTCTGTTGGTTCTTCCTGACTCTCAGCTGCTTTCAGTACCATTTACCATGATATCTTTCTGGATTCTATAAGAGTTGGGAGCAGAAGGCCCTGTTTTGCAGAGACTTATTTCTTACATCTCTGGTAGACTCTAGATGGCATTGCTTGATAACAGTTGCTGTTCCAGTAGGAGGACTTTTATGGAATCTTCAAAGCCCTACTTTGTCTCCAGCCTACACAGAACTGCTTGGAGAGATCATCAGTGGGACTGGAGCTGCAGGCTAACAAAACTGGTGGCATCCAGTCCTGGCTAAATCAATTTTATTTTTCTGTAACATTTTCAAGTAATGTTATGGCTCCCCTGAACACCTGCCTGCAGTCAGTTTTAGGTTGGATAAGGAACAATATAATAACAATATAATGAGATTTTATTCTCCAAGAAAGAGCAGGCATGCAATTTAGGAGTGCTTCAAGACCTTGATCTCTCTGGTTTCCCACCTCAGAAAATAGCCAGGAGGACCTTTCACCAGTTTTGTTTGATATGCAGTTGCTTCCCTTTATAAAGAAACAACCTTGATATTAGTGTGTGCATGTGCTAGTAGTGCAAGCTTGATCCCTCTAGCTGTACATGAGCCATGTTTGTGTCTAGTCCTGAAATTTCTTTCAGCTCTCTTAGGCAGCCAGATTAGTCTCTGGGAGAACTGAGAAGAGACTACTATAATGCCTGGGCTAAAAGCACTGCATTGGCCACTTATTTGTTCCTGAGTGAAATACAAAATGCTAGTCTAAACCCATTTAAGACTTGGGTCTGTGCTTCTTGAATCTCTTCCTATATAACCCCCATCTCTACCATCACTTACTGAGATCGTATGAGGAGATTTGCCTACAGCTGCCATGGGGCTTTGTCTTTAGACTCTGGCCTTTGCTGCAGTGAGGGGCTAACCTCTTCCCTCTCTTTTGATAAGGCCCTGAAAACAACAAAGCAAAATTTTGAAGTATTGGTTTTTCATTGTTTTTAATATTTCTCTTTTTATGATAAAGCACTGAGAGATGTTGGCAATCAACAGTATAGTAACTTTAATAAACAAATAATTTATTCCAGCTAGAAATGTTTTGCTGGTACAAAAGGGAAGGAGTTAACATTAGGTGTTAGTTCTCTTTTGGCCCCACCATCTCTCACTGTTCTGTGGGATCCCCAGCTTGAAATGCATGGCCAAGGAAGAGGGGGAAATCACCAAAAATACCTCAGTGACAATAGAGACCTCCTGTTTATGGGAGAGTTTTGATGGTTCCACCCAATGGGTTTCACAAGTAGAACTGTGCATTTGTATATGTATCTGTGTATATGTATGTCTTTGGGATATCTCTGGGGATTCTCCTCTGGGGGTAGTTATAAAAATTGATGTGATGAACTCAATCCTGTTCTTCGAAAAGTTTCTCCTACTACATTGCAGGTTATTTTCAATGTAGAGCACAGTCAAAAGACTGGTTTGTAATTACTAGTTACTTAGAGTTCAAGTGAAGGGGAGCTTCTCCAAATAAAGCTGCAAATGTCAGCCAGGATTTCAAAGGATTTCAAACCTAATACTTTGCATTCCCAAAACAGACCATTTTGGCTACTATAATTTCAGATTCATCCAGAATCTGATACTGAATTTACATTCATGGAACTTTTGGCTTTCTTTCTTTTTCTTTCTTTTTTTAACAGCCCTCGTCGGAGGAGAAAGGGCTGTCCCTCAAAGTCCCCACTCATTTCCATGCTGTTTTTCTGGAAATTGCATTCAGGCCAACTTAACAATTAAAAAAGAAAATACCAAGCAGCATAAAATGCACAGTACAAAGCAGCAGGAGAATAAAAGAACTTGCAAGTCTATAGAATTAAGCAGAGAGAAGAATCTTGTTCCCACTGCTGCTCATTTATTCCTACTTTTTTCCTGCACCAGCAGTTCTTTTTATGCATCCATTCTAAGCAAACTAAAATCTTGAGACCAAGACATTCAAATGAAGAAAGATGGGCTTAAATGTAATAACACACTTTTTTAAAAAGTTCTTTGGAGCATAAGCTTTATCATGCAATAACTAAAGTAAACAATCAGTGGAATTATTTTGTACAGGTCTACTAACGCCATGCCTTTTCTTAAATGGTATATGACTAATGTAACCCACATATAT